ACAATTTTATGTTCCTGTAGTTGTGTTGATGTGCTCAGATAACATGTCATGAAGGAGTTTTATCACTCGTTTTATTTCTCCACCATATAAAAGTCAATTTTGTCTATTATCTCGATTTAGTAAATTTCCGACAAGATTTGCTTCCTCATTATATTTCACAACATAGATGCGAAAGTTGCAAGTGGATAGATGAAATAAATCTATTGTCAAAAATACACTCTGTGTGCTCTGCGTATATCGTGACTATAATACCATTGAAGATAATCGAAATTTTATTGGTTTTTCAAACATCGTATACGTTTATACAAGACATGGTACAAGTAATACATTTTTATTCGATCTAATTTTTGTTGTGGCACTCAATTAGATACTTGTAACAAAAAGAATGATTGTCTTTTTAGACAAAGCCGCTCTTTTTCATGGAAGTGTTATGTGAGACATATGTAAAGATGTGTAATAATAAACATTAGTAAAAGATAGTCGGCTTGAGCTAATAACACAACAGAAGTCTTTCTTTCATATGTTGAAGTTTTCGAAAATTACAACATTGATCAATGATCTTGCCTCTCGTCTGTGCAGATTCTTACTTTCTTGAAATTCTTCATTGATTCTTGTAACACAAACGAATGGTTTTTACCATCACTTAGTATCGTTCATAACTATGATTTCTTTTTGTTTTAAGATATCTTTACAAAAAAAAATACTTCACGAGTATAGATACACATGGTAATTTCACGTACAAAAAAACAAAAGTTACACACAAAGAATCGAAAAACGCAATAAGGGAAACTTAAATGTTCCAAAAGCCGTCGCTGTCGACACTATAATTAAATTGATCATTATTCGAAAACGCTACTGGTTGAACTGTTGTTGATAACACACGTTTAGATGAGGTAATGGACGATCGAGTGGAAGAATTTTTCTTGTTCACAGATTTGATGCGTTATAGCGTTTTCCCGGAAATCCATTTTTGACACAAACATGGAATAAGGAAACTGCAATCCGTGAAAATCCATAGTAAAGATACTACAGGCTTTTATGAGATCAGGCATATAGGGCATAATGGCCATAGAGTCGCAAGGCTACACTTATGTAGTGCGAAACACTTCTTTGAATTTCCGTAAATTGACCTGACATTCAGAACATATCGAGTTTCCCGGAAATTGGATTGATGTTGAAATATATTCAATTTCCCGACTAACGCTATAACGCATCAGATGGACTTTGGAATGAAACATATCGATCAACACCAGTCATTCACACAAAATTAATCGTTGACAACCGAAACAATAAAACATTAGCACGAGAGTTGATATATCATCAACACATTAAACAGCAGCCGAGACATTGACTCAACGCCAGACCTACATTTCAAGCATCGTAGATTTCTCTGTAAATATTATTTTTAATAAACTATTCACTTCGGTATGAACTTTTTCGCATATATCAAACATTAACATACAGTCCCATATCTTAAACAAAAAAGTATATTCACAACTTTATTTATAACAAAGCACAACATTCTGCATAGGATTTCAAAGTATCCTGTATAAAAAACAGAACCCATAGACAGATTGGCAATATCAGATAAAATGTCGAAACTATCTGATGAGACCCTTCAGCAATGTCGAAACGTGTCATAGACAGCTTGAGTCACCCTCACACGCCCTGGAAAATATACAAAAAAGGATTCAGTGATAATATTAAATGTGCATTGGCACTAATTTAGGCTGTAAGCTAGACGTATGTCAATACAAAGTTGCAGACACCTATTTCTGTCCGAAAAAGAAACATGCCAAAAAATACACAAATAAGCTATGTCTTTCTTCAATTGTTACGCATTCTCACGACGTTCACAACTCATCCCTTTGGAGGGTCCTTGGATAGAAAAACCATTCACACAGAATTATATTTTATTGTATGAGCAAATTTTCTATTTCAAAAAAATTTATTCAGTTTTTATTCTACCCTCATACTTCACCCTTAAATCAAATCTTACATCCTTTATGTCACAAAAAATGTGTAATCTTTTCGTTCGACTATACGTTTATCAGCAATCAACTAATAGTGGACATTTGTCATCTGTAAAATATCTACTACCGAGAAAGATAGAATAGACCTATCTACGATAAGTAATGCAATAAATGCTTGTGCCTAAAAACTATCTGTTGTCATCTGTATGTAAGCGCCATCTTTTCCATCCAAAGATTATATGTTTGTTATTATTATCTTTGTCTTTGTCTTTCTCGTTTCTTTTATCTCTCAGGTAAAGTGATAAAACAACTAATAGAAGGTTAAGAAAAATCAAGAAAGTAGCAACACATTCGATCCGAAACAAGAAATCAACAATATATAACGTTAATATTCAAATGGTTTACACATTGGCTACATTACCTGTGGAATTGGTCTATCGAATTCTGGACCACCTATCGAAGTTTTACTTGTTTTGGTCGATGCAAAACGTCTGTCATCGACTGAATCAAATTCTCAATAGCTATCATCGATATCAGGTAAATCTATATTTTTCTGTTATACTAGTTAGATCTATATCCCTCAGCATACAAAAATTCAAACAAAATTAATCAATTACAATATTGAGTTTTTAAACCCATATTAGANGTTGTGTTGATGTGCTCAGATAACATGTCATGAAGGAGTTTTATCACTCGTTTTATTTCTCCACCATATAAAAGTCAATTTTGTCTATTATCTCGATTTAGTAAATTTCCGACAAGATTTGTTTCCTCATTATATTTCACAACATAGATGCGAAAGTTGTAAGTGGATAGATGAAATAAATATATTGTCAAAAATACACTCTGCGTGCTCTGCGTATATCGTGACTATAATACCGTTGAAGATAATCGAAATTTTATTGGTTTTTCAAACATCGTATACGTTTATACAAGACATGGTACAAGTAATACATTTTTATTCGATCTAATTTTTGTTGTAGCACTCAATTAGATACTTGTAACAAAAAGAATGATTGTCTTTTTAGACAAAGCCGCTCTTTTTCATGGAAGTGTTATGTGAGACATATGTAAAGATGTGTAATCATAAACATTAGTAAAAGTTAATCGACTTAAACCAATAACAAAACAGAAGTCTTTCTTTCATATGTTAAAGTTTTCGAAAATTACAACATTAATCGATGATCTTGCCTCTCGTCTGTGCAGATGCTTACTTTCTTGAAATTCTTCATTGATTCTTGTAACACAAACGAATGGTTTTTACCATCACTTAGTATCGTTCATAATTATGATTTCTTTTTGTTTTAAGATATCTTTACAAAAAAATACTTCACGAGTATAGATACACATGGTAATTTCACGTACAAAAAAACAGAAGTTACACACAAAGAATCGAAAAACGCAATAAGGGAAACTTAAATGTTCCAAAAGTCGTCGTTGTCGACACTAAAATTAAATTGATCATTATTCGAAAACGCTACTGGTTGAACTGTTGTTGATAACACACGTTTAGATGAGGTAATGGACAATCGAGTGGAAGAATTTTTCTTGTTCACGGATTTGATGCGTTATAGCGTTTTCCCGGAAATCCATTTTTGACACAAACATGGAATAAGGAAACTGCAATCCGTGAAAATACATAGTAAAGATACTACAGGCTTTTATGAGATCAGGCATATAGGGCATAATGGGCATATAACGCATAATCATGCTGATTATGCCCTATACGCCGATTATGCCTTATATGCCCAGTATGCCCTATATGCCCATTCTGATCAATAACCTTCATCCTCAGTCAGATATAACCCTCATCACCCACACCCTTCACCCTCAATCGGATATAAACCTCATCACATAGAATCGCAAGGTTACACTTATGTAGTGCGAAACACTTCTTTGAATTTCCGTAAATTGAGCTGACATCCAGAACATATCGAGTTTCCCGGAAATTGGATTGATGTTGAAATATATTCAATTTCCCGGCTAACGCTATAACGCATCATATGGACTTTGGAATGAAACATATCGATCAACAACAATCATTCACACAAAATTAATCGTTGACAACCGAAACAATAAAACATTAGCACGAGAGTTGATATATCATCAACACATTAAACAGCAGCCGAGACACAGACTCAACGCTAGACCTACATTTCAAGCATCGTAGATTTCTCTGTAAATATTATTTTTAATAAACTATTCACTTCGGTATGAACTTTTTCGCATATCAAACATTAACATACAGTCCCATATCTTAAACAAAAAGTATATTCACAACTTCATTTATAACAAAGCACAACATTCTGCATAGGATTTCAAAGTATCCTGTATAAAAAACACAACCCATAGAAAGATTGGCAATGTCAGATAAAATGTCGAAACTATCTGATGAGACCCTTCAGCAAGGTCGAAACGTGCCATGGACAGCTTGAGTCACCCTCACCCTGGAAAATATACAAAAAAAGGATTCAGTGATAATATTAAATGTGCATTGGCACTAATTTAGGCTGTAAGCTAGACGTATGTCAATACAAAGTTGCAGACACCTATTTCCGTCCGAAAAAGAAACATGTCAAAAAATACACAAATAAGCTATGTCTTTCTTCAATTGTTACGCATTCTGGCGATGTTCACAATTCATCCCTTTGGTGGGTCCTTGGATAGAAAAACCATCCACACAGAATTATATTTTATTGTATGAGCAGATTTTCTATTTCAAAAAAATTTATTCAGTTTTTATTCTACCCTCATACTTCAACCTTAAATCAAATCTTACGCCATTTATGTCCCAAAAAATGTGTAATTTTTTCGTTCGACTATAAGTTTATCAGCAATCAAATAATAATGGACAGTTGTCATCTGTAAAATACCTACTACTGAGGAAGATAGAATAGACCTATCTACGATAAATAATGTAATAAATACTTGTACCTAAAAACTATCTGTTGTCATCTGTATATAAGCGCCATCTTTTCCATACAAAGATTATATTTTTCTTATTGTTATCTTTGTCTTTCTCGTTTCTTTTATCTCTCAGGTAAAGTGATAGCACAACCAAGAGAACGTAAAGAAAAATCAAGAAAGTAGCAAAACATTCGATCCGAAACAAGAAATTAACAATACATAACGTTAATATTCAAATGGTTTACACATTGGCTACATTACCTTTGGAATTGGTCTATCGAATTCTGGACCACCTATCGAAGTTTTACTTGTTTTGGTCGATGCAAAACGTCTGTCATCGACTGAATCAAATTCTCAATAGCTATCATCGATATCAGGTAAATCTATATTTTTCTGTTATACTAGTTAGATCTATATCCCTCAGCATACAAAAATTCAAACAAAATTAATCAATTACAATATTGAGTTTTTAAACCCATATTAGATAACACGAAAATCTTATGAGACTGGTCCTGCAACACTAACTATCAGAGAATTTTATTTATGAAAAGTGACGTAGGATATTTTAGCATCCGATTCGGTTTTTTTTTCCAGGATTTACTCGTTCGGATATACGATCCAACTCTGACTCCGCTGGCCTCCAGTAGAGCTCGATGCGCTCTATCGATTGCATAAGATAAAGTTTCAAAAATAGGCCTCTATTCCCGTGAAAAACACAAAAAACTGCAGAGAAACAGCGAAAAAATGTGAAAATGTTCGGAAAATCCGGGCAGATTGGCTTCTGTGTTATTGAGCGCGATTCTAACACCAGTTCCAGGTTAAGTTCGATGAGTTCTATCGATTGTAATTATAAAAGTTTTAGCCACCACCCATATCCCCCAAATTCACCCAACACCCAAAACCATCCAAATCCATACAAAATCAAACAAGATCGTAGAATAAGTGTTATAAATCCTGCGCTAGATTCATTAGAAAATATTACTGGTGAGTGTTTCTACAGGAAAACCTGCGATGTGGGGTGTCTTCGAAGTTGGTGGACGGGTAGGGATGACGGCTAAAACGTTTAGGATTAGGATCGATAGAGCAGATCGAGTTCTACTGGGAACCAGTGAGGTCAGAATTGGATCGCATATCCGGACGAATAAATCTTAGCGAAAAACGAATCGGGCGCTAAGACATCCTGCGTGAAAAGTTCCCGTTGAACGATAGATTAATGTAAGAGATGAACTACATCAGAACGTTTACCATGTGCTTATAAAGTATTTCGAGGTATATTATAGTAAATATATGGGGAAGTTAATGTTGAAAGAACTTTCACTAAAAGTAAAAGGATAAAAAACCTATGCCTCAACAGTGCTATATTTTGACGAGACTCTCTCAGAGCTCTTCAATACATTACTGTATGAAATATGCAGTTATGCTTATTCTGTACAAATTGAATTGATATTGATCACAACGATTTTTCACAAAATGACATTTCCTGCCGTTCAATGTAAGCATTATTCACCCTTCGGTTTCGTAGATTGTTGGTGATTCCTCGGTGCTGATCAATTTTGCAACGTAATCAACATATTGTAAGCGGGGTTGTCCATGCTTACGTTTTCCGTGATCAGATTTCGTAGTGTACAGAGCATACATGTTGGAAAATTCATTTCTATTTCGGCGTAGACAATGTCAAATAAGCGCAATTGTCGACGTTGGATGATTTGCACTAGCGGTTCTTGTTTCACCTTTTCGTAGATTGTGTTGTCTGATACTTTGTCCAAGTACTTGATGTTGAGTATTATCCGATAGCAGCTGATGGCAAAGCTATTTAGAGATTTTTCGAGGGCTTTTGTAATAATTCAGCTTTCAGAACCGTATAGTACGATCGAAATAAATAAAGCTTTAAATATATTGGTTTTCAGCTTTATTGGTATTGTCGTCGATTTCCACATGTTTTTCATTTTCCAGAAAGCTTTCCAAGCGAACCCTTTTCTTACCTTGATATCTGTTGTGCTTGAAAGCACCATTGGGCCAAGATATTTGAAGTTATCTACCCATCGAATATCCTCTCCATTTGGTTGTATTGATTTGTTAGTACTTGTGTCTTTTTTTATATTCAATTGTAACCCTACTTTTCTGCCCTTTTCACTGTTGTGTCTNAAAGTGACGTAGGGTATTTTAGCATCCGATTCGTTTTTTTCCAGGATTTATTCGTTCGGATATACGATCCAACTCTGACTCTGCTGGTTCCCAGTAGAACTCGATACGCTCTATCGATTTCATAAGATAAAGTTTCAAAAATAAGCCTCTATTCCCGTGAAAAACACAAAAAACTGCAGAGAAACAACGAAAAGATGTGAAAATGTTCGGAAAATCCGGGCATATTGGCTTCTGTGTTATTGAGCGCGATTCTAACACCAGTTCCAGGTTAAGTTCGATGAGTTCTATCGATTGTAATTATAAAAGTTTTAGCCACCACCCATATCCCCCAAAACCACCCAAATCAAGCAAGATCGTAGAATAAATGTTAGAAATCCTGCCTGAGGTTCATTAGAAAACATTACTGGGGAGTTTTTCTACAGGAAAACCTGCGATGTGGGGTGTCTTCGAAGTTGGTGGATGGGTAGAGACGACGGCTAAAACGTTTAGGATTAGAATCGATAGAGCACATCGAGTTCTACTGGGAACCAGTGAAGTCAGAATTGGATCGCATATCCGGACGAATAAATCTTAGAGAAAAACGAATCGGGCGCTAAGATATCCTACGTGAAAAGTTCCCGTTGAACTATAGATTAATGTAAGAGATGAACTACATCAGAACGTTTGCCATGTGCTTATAAAGTATTTCGAGGTATATTATAGTAAATATATGGGGAAGTTAATGTTGAAAGAACTTTTACTAAAAGTAAAAGGATAAAAAACCTATGCCTCAACAGTGCTATATTTTGACGAGACCCTCTCAGACCTCTTCAATACATGAAAAAACTGTATGAAATATGCAGTTATGTTTATTCTGTACAAATTGAATTGATATTGATCACAGCGATTTTTCACAAAATGGCATTTCCTGCCGTTCAGTGTAAGCGGGGTTGTCCACGCTTACGTTTTCCGTGATCAGATTTCGGAGTGTACAGAGCATACATGTTGGTGAATTCATTTCTATTTCGGCGTAGATAGTGTCCAATAAAGCGCAATTGTCGACGTTGGATGATTTGCACTAGCGGTTCTTGTTTCACCTTTTCGTAGATTGTGTTGTCTGATACTTTGTCCAAGTACTTGATGTTGAGTATTATCCGATAGCAGCTGGTGGCAAAGCTATTTAGAGATTTTTCGAGGGCTTTTGTAATAATTCAGCTTTCAGAACCGTATAGTACGATCGAAATAAATAAAGCTTTAAATATATTGGTTTTCAGCTTTGTTGGTATTGTTGTCGATTTCCACATGTTTTTCATTTTCCAGAAAGCTTTCCAAGCGAACCCTTTTCTTACCTTGATATCTGTTGTGCTTGAAAGCACCATTGGGCCAAGATATTTGAAGTTATCTACCCATCGAATATCCTCTCCATTTGGTTGTATTGATTTGTTAGTACTTGTGTCTTTTTTTATATTCAATTGTAACCCTACTTTTCTGCCCTTTTCACTGTTGTGTCTGTGCTCTGTCGATAGTGCTTTCGAACAGTGCTGTCGTCAGTGAAGTACCATTTCTGTGATTCGATTATGCACTTTTCATAACATAATCTATGAATGTGATAAAGAGAAAGGGTGCTAATGTATCGCCCTGTAGAACACCACTTGTAACGTCGAATTCTTGTGAGGTGTTTCCATCCGCGAGTAACATACTTCGAAACTTGTTGTATATATTAAACGTCGCACTATGCGTGTTTCATCAGCGCAGCTTCCTCCTTTTCTGAATCCGGCTTGATTTTTTTAGAATTGAATCAAGTGGTTCACGTATTCTATTTAGGAGAATTCTGTTGTAAGTTTTCGCTACCACTGACATGAAACTTATGCCTCTGTAGTTTTTTATGAGTATTTTATCCTCTTTTCTGGGTATTGGAATGATGATGTTAGTGTTGAATTGTTTTGGTGTTGTGTTTTTCTCGAATATCTCATTGCATATCTCCCATAATTTATTGGAGATCCAGCCACCAACATACTTGAGTATTTCTGGTGTTATTATGTGATCAAGTCCAGGAGACTTTCAATTATTTAATTGCTAAATTGCTTGTTGTACTTCGGTAATTGTGATTGAGCTTGTATTGGCTGGTAGATCTTGGCTAGCTGGTGAAATTGTGTGAGTGGATTGAGGTGCGTTTGTCTTAACGTTGAATAGATCTTCAAAGTATTCTTTCCAATTGTTCATGAGTTCGTCGCTTGTGTCGATTTTAGTACTGTTCCAGAATCGAATCTTTGCTTGTTATTGTATCTGTGCTGATCGCTGATTGATCAATTAGAGCCCGTATTATTCGCGATTTGTTTGAAATTGCTGCTTGGTTTAGTTGTTCAAGTTTGTCTTCTAAAAATTGAATTCTGTCGCTTTGGTAGAAAATGTTCAGCTCTTTGTTGAGTTGGGTTTTGTTTGAATAGCTTTTTGGCTTCATTTCGTTGATTCAGTACTTCGATGGTTCCATTTGAGACCCAGCTCTTCTTGTTTGTTCGTTTTAGGCGCTCACAATCCGATGATCTGAGTTTAATTCGATTGTCTTGTATGCGCGCACATTTCGAATTGAGCTTAACCATTTTCCGTTTATAAGGATATGATCCAGTTGAGCTTTTGGTTGGCCGTTGGGATGAAGCTAGGCCCATGATTGTGATTTTGGTTGAGGAAATCTTGTTTGCGTTGATCGCATGTTACAGCTTTCGCAGTGGCTGACCAATCTAGTATTACCGTCGGTTAAGTCGTGATATATACGTTTGACGATTGTTCATGGGTTGGTAGAGTGACTATATGTCCCTGTCCTTGGATTTAGGTCGCCAGTAAGTATTAGTATATAATGTGGTGGGACATCTAATGTAAATTGTTGTAGGTCGTCGTAGGCGATGTCTTTATCTGCTGTACTCTTATCTTCTATAGGTGCGTATGCAACTATGATGGTTATCGCAGGATTGCCTTTGAAGCTTACCATCAAAATACGGTAAGATATTTTTTCTGATGAGGAAATTAATGCCGAGAATCGAGGATTCATAAGTAGTCCAACGCCACCTTGTCCAGTTCTTCCTTGTGTGTACCTACGATATTCTTGTACAACTACGAGATATATGTTGTTCGTGTAGCGCCCATGAACGATTTGGTGAAGTTTGCCTACTCTTTTGAGAGTGCGGATGTTGTAGGTAGATATTGTGATGGTTTTGTCTAATGTTTTTGATTTTGTTAGTTTTGATTCGACTCGTCGTTGCATTATCAAAGACAGTTGTCCGTCTTATCATAGGCGGGTAAATGAAATCTTTGTATNAAAGAGAAAGGGTGCTAATGTATCGCCCTGTAGAACACCACTTGTAACGTCGAATTCTTGTGAGGTGTTTCCATCCGCGAGTAACATACTTCGAAACTTGTTGTATATATTAAACGTCGCAGTATGCGTATTTCATCAGCGCAGCTTCTTCCTTTTCTGAATCCGGCTTGATTTTTTTGAGAATTGAATCAAGTGGTTCACATATTCTATTTAGGAGAATTCTGTTGTAAGTTTTCGCTACCACTGACATGAGACTTATGCCTCTGCAGTTTTTTATGAGTGTTTTATCCTCTTTTCTGGGTATTGGAATGATGATGTTAGTGTTGAATTTGTTTTGGTGTTGTGTTTTTCTCGAATATCTCATTGCATATCTCACATAATTTGTTGGAGATCCAGTCACCAACATACTTGAGTATTTCTGGTGTTATTATGTGATCAAGTCCAGGAGACTTTCCATTATCTAATTGCTAAATTGCTTGTTGTACTTCGGTAATTGTGATTGAGCTTGTATTGGCTGGTAGATCTTGGCTAGCTGATGAAATTGTGTGAGTGGATTGAGGTGCGTTTGTCTTAACGTTGAATAGATCTTCAAAGTATTGTCTCCAATTGTTCATGAATTCGTCGCTTCTGTCGATTTTAGTACTGCTCCAGAATCGAATCTTTGCTAGTTATTGTATCTGTGCTGACCGCTGATTTGATCAATTAGAGCCCGTGTTAATCGCGATTGGTTTGAAATTGCTGCTTGGTTTAGTTGTTCAAGTTTGTCTTCTAAAAATTGAATTCTGTCGCTTTGGTAGAAAATGTTCAGCTCTTTGTTGAGTCGGGTTTTTGTTTGAATAGCTTTTTGGCTTCATTTCGTTGATTCAGTACTTTGATGGTTCCATTTGAGACCCAGCTCTTCTTGTTCGTTTGTTTTAGGCGCTCACAGTCCGATGATCTGAGTTTAATTCGATTGTCTTGTATGCGTGCACATTTCGAATTGAGCTTAACCATTTTCCGTTTATAAGGATATGGTCCAGTTGAGCTTTTAGTTGGCCGTTGGGATAAAGCTAGGCCCATGATCGTGATTTTGGTTGAGGAAATCTTGTTTGCGTTGATCGCATGTTACAGCTTTCGCAGTGGCTGACCAATCTAGTATTACCGTCGGTTAAGTCGTGATATATACGTTTGCCGATTGTTCATGGGTTGGTAGAGTGACTATATGTCCCTGTTCTTGCATTTAGGTCGCCAGCAAGTATTAGTATATAATGTGGTGGGACATCTAATGTAAATTGTTGTAGGTCGTCGTAGGCGACGTCTTTATCTGCTGTACTCTTATCTTCTATAGGCGCGTATGCAACTATGATGGTTATCGCAGGATTGCCTTTGAAGCGTACCATCAAAATACGGTAAGATATTTTTTCTGATGAGGAAATTAATGCCGAGAATCGAGGGTTCATAAGTAGTCCAACACCACCTTGTCCAGTTCTTCCTTGTGTGTGCCAACGATATTCTTGTACAACTACGAGATATATGTTGTTCGTGTAGCGCCCATGAACGATTTGGTGAAGTTTGCCTACTCTTTTGAGAGTGCGGATGTTGTAGGTAGATATTGTGATGGTTTTGTCTAATGTTTTTGATTTTGTTAGTTTTGATTCGACTCGTCGTTGCATTATCAAAGACAGTTGTCCGTCTTATCATAGGCGGGTAAATGAAATCTTTGTATGCTGGGGACGAGACGAGAGATTGTTGCCCGGAATGGGTTCTTATATTATTATTTTTAGAGTCGATTAGAAAGGTATCTCGAGTTATTAACCCTGAAAATCCTACCAGAGTCCATCTTAGCCGTCAGTACTGACGTTTCCATCCTGCACTGCGTGGAAGTGAGGGGTTGAATTTTGCCGGACTACCCTTCGTATTAGCAGTTTTATAACACTGAAACAGAGCTTTTCCAAGAATATTGAAGCTTTTGCTAAGTTACTATCATTTAAAACGAATACAAGAAGATCCGACCCTCCCGTATTCTAAAGAGTTATGTTTCATTTCATCGCTTCTATCACGGTTCCACCTACAACGTAAACCTAATATTTTTTCTTGACTTTACTTTTCAATACACGGTTCCCCGAAACTCTACTACTACCAGTGAAATAAACAAACAAGTGTTTTTGCATGTGAACCCATATTCATTGTGAACCGTCTGTCAACTAAAATTGGTTGCACCCTCCAATTGAACTGAAGCTGCTGTGTATTGCGAATATACATGACGTGATCGTTTCCATTCATTCTTCACATTATCACGATCGTAATGGTATATTTTTCATCTCTCTTACATGCCCGCTATCTCCATTTAAGATATACAAATACATATATTGAGCTATACACATAATTTCTGTTACTCTCCCCTCGGCCCCACTGACTTCGATAACACTCTCGGTATATCATATTAAATAACACAGAAACTCGTAAGCTCACCTAAAAAAAAGAGAAGTAAAACGAAACAGCATTCCAAATAAAACCCAACTCAAC